GCCGAACACCCTGTATATGGTCATGCAGATCCTCCTCTGCCCAGTGTCTGCCTTTTGGTTAGACATAATTCCTTTGTGTTCTGGTACCCAAGGTCAGGTTGTACTGTTCCCCCAGTTTTGGAGATTTTAAACGCATTCAATGAGTAATTTTGATTTTTTTTTTTGCATGTTAATGTTTGGCTACTTCTTATAAGGATATTTTGTCAGTGTAAACTCTTTTATTTTCTAAGGCACAAGCGTTGATGACATGGATTTCAGCTTGAAAGATCTATGCTAATGGGTTTTATTGCTCATATTGGGATTGTACAGAAAACGCCTGATCCGTTCCCTTCATCTGTTTTGGAGCCATCTGTACACCATTTATCTGATTTCCTCCTGAATTCTTCTTCATTTTTCTGGTCTGTCGAGACTTTATAGGATGTTGCAAAAATGTACCCGGTATCATGTAGTCAGCACCCATTTCTGGATGATTGTTGTGTAGTGTTTAGTTCCCAAACAATTTGATTGTTTCTGGAGCCTAAATGGCCTTTTTCTCGCTTCCCCTTGTATAAATATTTTCAATGGAAGTAGGTTTAGCAGTGTTTCTAGTGCGATTGATGGGGTTGTTTTCATTACCCCTGTGATACAAGGCCAGTCTGCTGCCTAAAGTTTGGGTGGCTGGTTTTTGCTGAGCTTCGGTCCACCAGATTAGTGAGCCATGGGGTTTATTTGGGTCTTATTACTGCCGTATATAGCCAGTGGGCCATTTTCAGTTTTAGTCCCCAAGTTTTGCTTAAAGTTCTTTTTGTGGTGCTTTTTGTTATGATGTGCTGGTGAGAGTTCCAGGTTAATTTTTGATCAAAGATTATTCCTAGATATTTAACCTCATTTTTGAACTGCAGTATTTCGTTATAGAAGCATAGAGCTTGTAAATGCAATTAGTATAGTTTTGAGGGGTTTAGTTAAGTCTCTGTTTGAGTGCCATTGCTCTACCATGTTGAGTTCTCTTTGGATGATCTATTTTAATGTTCAGGTGAATTTTCCCCTAACTAGTGTTGTTCAATGTTAAAACTGGAACAGTTTATTGGTGTTTTGTATTATTTTTATTTGTGAAATATGTAAATCTAATCGGTCGCATATTTTTACTTTTTCTTTTTTGCTGCCGAATCCGGACAAGTCTGAAGGTCGACACTTTCATAAAACAGTGTAATATAATGGGTTGAATTTGTTTTTTGTTTTCTTAAAGCAAATGTACAGCTGTCGTTAACGGATAATAAATCTGCTCTGGTTTCCAGGCTAGTATGTCTAGGCCGGTAAAGCTACGGTTTGAGTCGGTGTGACAATATTTCATGTCAAAATGCATAGCAGGACAGGATCTAGGGGGCTAAACCGGATTCAGCGAAGGCCCAAAATGCTTGTGCAACTTAGATTGAGTTGTATTTTTCTGAAAAATAAAATGAATAATCAGTAGTAAGATAAGGACATGGTATAAATTTTTCTTTTGGAAAATGATCTTTTATTAATACCTAAAAATTATTATTTCTTGTATTGGGTTGACAAGAAAATAATGACTTTTTTACAGTATATATTTTTATTTTTTTACATCTGACATGCTTTTAACTATTGGGAGATGTAGTGTCCGTTGTTTGCAATTACTTTTTGCTATCGTTTCGCAAAAAAATTCCCATCTTTTGAGTTTAGGGACGTTACAACAGTTGTTTGAACACTCAATACTTTCAAAATTTTCACCATTTAAGAAATTTTGTAATGACTAAAATAAATAGTCGTGAGATGTGTGAAGAGTATGGCAGGCACAATAAAATTTCCCAATTCAGATTTGTTAATAATTGTTTGGCCCTCAAAGCAACGTGGGGGTGGGAGTTGTTGCGAAATATTTTCTGTTTTTCTAGTTCAGGCCATTTTTGCTTTACTTTAAGTTCTAAACAGGTTGGCTGTTTATAGTACAGTTCACTATAACTATTTGCCCCTGTGGTAAAAGCTCAAAATACAAGGGGCCAGACCTGTACAGCATCCTAGCACAGTTGTTTTTTTTTTCCATGCATTTGTTGTTTTGGAACAACTGGGGACCGTCGACCGGATTTTGCTGACTATGTTTTTGTATGTGATCCATTTTTCATCACCTCATCATCAAGAATGGGTCTTAAGAGCAACGACGGAGAGTGAAGAGCAAATTGAGATGCAGTACACCAAGATTCCGCTGAGTTCGTGTGGGATCCAGATAGTGTATTTTTGAAGAAATCCAATTTTTTGGATGTCGTTTCCAATAGTTGTATAGGTAACACTGAACAATTCTCCTAGTTCTCTGGTCATCAAAAGGGATTTTCTTCTTTCCTATCCCTTAAAATATCATCGTCAACCTCAGGAGGACATCCACTGTGCAAATCATCTTCAACAACAAAATTTCCTTCTCTAAAGCAAGCAAACCCCCGTTGGACTTTATGAACATTTACAGCATTAGTACCAAACACTGCACACAAGTTTTCAGTTGCATTGTTCTTTTTCTGAATTTCATAAAGTAAACAATGCCTTAAATGCATTTCATCCAAATACATGATTACCTATTAAATTATTATTTTATTAATTTATTTCAGACAAAGAAGTTGAAAACAGAAACTGATAAGAAATAAAGTCTTTTAATTTAGGGCTTAAACAAGTGTATTTGTAAACAAAAGTAATATACACCAAAACATTGATCTAATTAATCCTATAAATGAAAAATTACATTACTTACATCCCAAACAAATAGTTAATTACAGCATAATCTTTGGTTTTCAAGATGTCACAATTATATTTACGTAACATCACAAAATCCATTATTTTTTATTGTATAAATTGAGGAAGGTGCATTCATTCAACAATGGTGCCACTTATCGTCTGTTAACAGAGGGTTTCTTGCATGTACTTTAAGCCAATACAATTTTTTTTTAAATTACATGTACATTTGTAAAGACCAAATATTATACATCAAAGAGTTATCAAAAACATTTAATTATGGATAAACATCCAAAATAATGTAACATTCAAGAAATTTCCTGCTTCCTGTTATATTTGCTTTTGGGTTATTTCCATTTGAAATTATTGATTAATAATATTACTTTTTGATTTTCCGATATGCTATCTTCCCTGTTTGCAGCCAATATCCAAATTTTCGAGTACATGCACTGTGCTGATTTCACACTGTTGCAACATTTTTATCACTGTTCAAGGTTCTATTAATAAAATAGTTCTCAATATAAATAAATATAGAATAATAAATAAATTACATTTAAGCGTAATAGCTTCTTTTATATATTTATAATAATTATATATTTTATAGGGATTATAAGTTAAAAGATGTTGGTTTAGAACAGTCGAATTTGATCAAACATGTTGGTATTCTTTTTGTTTAGTTCTGAGTTTCATTAATCACTAGTAAAAAAGCAAATCATATTCTCAGTTTCATGACAAGAAATACAGAAATTTTTTATAACAGTGTAGCCTTTTTAGTTGCCTTGATAGCCTAAGGTGTCTGCAATAAATTCAATGATTAGGACTCCAAATTCTTCTAGACTATTCAATGCTGGCATCATATTCATGTACAAACTATTCCATATCTCAATAGACTGTTCTGTATTTCACTTCTATATCCTCAGATAAAATCAAGACAATAGTTGATTTTTTCTAAATTATCCTCTCACCAACTACCAAAATACTCCAGCCAACAAGAATCGTGGACAAAACCCTTCCCACTTCTTTTGACATTTTGAAATGTTCCCGTTAAAAATGCCTTAAATTACAAATTAATCTAGTTAATCAAAATATTTTTCTCTATTTTCATTTATATATTCTATATACCTCATTATTATTTTTTTATTATTACAACAATTAATCAGCAATTCATACATTTAAAAGTGATCTTATTTCGTTCATTATTTTTAGAATGTAGATGTAATGTTCAGGATGTTTAATATACTGTGCCCTTTGAGAGTTGTATCCCTCGTTCCGTACTTTATAGCACACCGGTGAGTCTTAATTCATCAAGAAATTTGATTAGTATGCCCAGTTTCAGTGGTTGAATTTATTCTATGATTATGTTGTACAACCCCAAAACACTTCCTCCTGTGTACAAATTTGACGCCACAGTTTATTAGTATAATGTTGGTCCTCTGCTTCTTTGCAAAATCTCCCTGTGCATTTTTAGTATTTATAAGGGTGCTTTTGTTTTATTTTATATTCTTTATATATTTTCATTTCTGAAACCACTTGTATCTAACCTCATCTGTAATCATTGTCTAATCCACGAACCCTCTGATTAAAGTATGATCTTGAAGAAGAAAGCTAACTCAGTTGTTACTGCCAAGCTTTCAACCTTTTTTAAGGTCGTTATCAGGGCAAAACAATCTTAAATATGTCTACATATCCTGATGATGACCTTAAAATAGACCAAAAGCGGCCGTAACAACGGAATTTGCTTTCTTCTTCAAGGTCATACTTTGATCCAGAGTGTTTGTGGGTGAAAAAGTGGTCAATATTTCTAATACTGTTAACCATAATCCTAACACTAACTCTACATAACCTAACTATTCCTAATATAACCTAACCCATGATTTCTTTTGGTATAGATTCTTTGAAAAACTTTAATAATTACTGATTATTTGGAGGTTGTGAGATGCGGTCTGGTGTGACGTAGGTTTTAGAAAAATATTTTCTTTATCATGCCAACGTTTTGATCTTTATTGAGATCATCTTCAGGGCTCAGTGTTTGTTTTCGTGTAGATGTGTCATTCTTGTCTATTGTGTTGAGAGTGCACTGAGTCACACGACATACAGGAATGACACATCTACATGGAAAACAAACACTTCGAGCCCTGAAGATGATCTCAATAAAGATCGAAACGTTGGCATGATAAAGAAAATATTTTTCTAAAACCTATGTCACACCAGACTGCATCTCATGACCTACAAATAATGGTCACTAAACACCACACTTTAATAATTACTTTATTAATATTTTATTTCAGGTGACGATATTAAATTCTCTTAGTGCAGACGATAAGACTTTTACCGGCAATGGCTACACTTCCCTCGCCATCATTTATGCAATGTTGGCCATTGGAAATTGGCTCGCGCCTTCTATTATCGGAGCAATCGGAGCAAGAATGTCGATGGTCATTGGAAGTTTAACATACTTGTGAGTATTTGTGAAATATTGTTAAGCATTGTTTGTTTTTGGACTAGGAGATGTTAAACATTTGTTCATGGATTGACTTTCTCAGATGTTCTTACCTGTGTTTTTTTTAATTTTTTAAACAATTTTTGAGTAATTTAGTCGTAACAAGAGCCTTAACGGGCTGTTGGACATACAGTAATTCAGGAACACTCTGGATCAAGTTTTGGTCTTGTCAGTTGTTATTGCTAAGCTTTTGACCTATTTTAATCTTAAATTTGTATACAGCTTGATATATTTAAGTTTAAGGACAGTCCTTGGCAATGTTAGATAGAACTAAGCAGGTCTTTAAGGAAATTTGAGATCACCTGGGAAAGCTTGGCAGTAACAATTGAATTTGCTTTTTTCTTCAAGATGATACCTTGATCCAGATCCTAAGTGAAAAAGTGGTCGATACTTTTAACATTGAAATACAGTAATAATAGGCAGATCAGGATGTTCAGATACGATCAAGCTGTGGACAAATGTTCATGATTTATAGCAATTTTATATCACCGTTACTTTTATACATGCAGGTTATTTATTGCGTCATTTTTAATTCCAAAGACTTGGCTCCTATATACAGTATCAGCTTTAATGGGTATAGGGGCTTCATTAATCTGGACTGGCCAGGGGAATTATTTAACACTTAATTCCGATGATTTAACAATGGCGAGGAATTCAGGGATATTTTGGGCTCTTCTGCAATCGAGGTAAAACATTCAATTTTAACCTTAAATTCGTGAATATGATAACTAAAATAAATATGAATTGCAGCATGTTGTATGGAAACTGTTATGTTTTCATTGCATTCGAAGGAAAACAGCACATTGATGAGCACACAAGAAATACGGTTACTATAGTACTTACAGCACTGTCTCTGATCGGGCTGGTATTTCTTGTGCTCTTAAGACCGGCGGTCAGTGCTGATGGAGAGGTTTTGGCTCGAAGGACCGTCGGGCCAATAAAAGCCTTCAGAGAAGCAATGTCTTTGCTAACTCGCAAAGAAATGATTTTCCTTTGCATCACATTTTTATATACAGGTATAGGTTTATCAATATTAAAATTATATAATTATTAACATTTATCCTCTTGGTAGGGTTTGAACTGTCATTTTATAGCGGCGTTTACAGCCCGAGCATAGGCTTCACATTGAATATCAGTGACAACCCTAAAAGATTGACTGGGCTGTCAGGAATTGCAATCGGCGTTGGCGAAATTGCAGGTAATTATTGAAAACAAATATCTCTTGGCATAATTGTTAATTTTCTTTTTTAGGAGGTTTGTTGTTTGGTCTACTTGGCTCTAAAACGGTTCGATGGGGAAGAAGCCCGATTGTCATACTAGGCTTTGTTGTCCATATTGTTACATTTTTCTGTATTTTCTTAAATCTGCCAAATTCAGCTCCGTTGGGAGATACGACTGATCAAGCTTATATTCAGAGCAAGTATGTCAAGTATTTTATAATCTTGTTTTAAATTAAATTTCCTTTAATTTTTATTTATTTATTTTTTAGCGTCATTCTTGCTATAGCTTGTAGTGTATTGTTGGGATTTGCTGATAGCTGTTTTAATACACAAATTTACGCTGCCATCGGGACAATTTTCAGTGAAGAAAGTGCTCCTGCATTTGCCATTTTTAAATTCACCCAAGTAACAATAATAAATTTTATTTTATTATATAAATACATTATGTTTTTTGTTTATTTCAGAGTTTGGCTGCAGCAAGTGCCTTTTTTTACAGTAAATACATAGGACTCTACATCCACTTGGCGATATTGGTCGTCTGGGCAACTTTAGGCACTGCTACTTATTGCATTACAGAACGGATGGTAAACAACAGTAAAGAGGTTGACGATGAGAGTCAGATAAACCAGAGCAAACGATTTTAAAAACAAGACTAAAAATTATATCTTACCTTGGTTAATTTTTGTATATTACAGTTGAAATGAAATTATGTTACCTTGTTGAATAGAGTTGTCCTATTTTTTACTTACCATTCCTATATTGAATTATTAATTAATATATTTCAATTAATTATAAGTACGATTATATACACTCGTGTAATTGTTTTCTCAAGTTAATTTTAATATTTATGATTGATAGGAAAATTCTAATGTACATGAAATTTTCTTGCTGTATTTAAACTCTTTTATTTTCGGATAAGATTAAAAATTTATTATGAAATTTCATTACTAAATTATTGCTTGTTCTGCTGAAAAATCGAGAAAAAACTAGTATAAACTATTCAGTGGTTCTACTAGTCATGTCTGTTGCAATATTGAAAACATGTGTAAACATATATTGTTGGTAGTTGGATCATTCCGGGTAAAACGCAGAGATAGTCGGATGATAAAAGACCATTTTTCGACCATGTTTTGGTCGAAAACCGTCAACAACAACAAAAATTGTAAATAATTAATTATTAAGTAACTTGAGAAAGACTGGAAAATACTGCCACTTGTTTGTAAATTAAATGTGAATACCATTACAAATAATAAATGTGATGAATTTTTTTTTTTTAGAAATGTAAGACTTAAATTGTACCATCTTTCAACAAACGCCTTAAAAGGTAAAAAACGAATTTGTTGAGGACTGCCATTTTGTATTAAATTATTTTCCTATTTCTTTTGTACACAATTCAGATGATTTTGATCTTGAGTATCTTTAATAGTCTGAACAGAAAAATCTGTGATAAAATGTTGTACTAGCGATGTAACTATAACCAACTGTTGCCTCCGATTCGCTCCATTTGCTTATGGACCCCCACCTTTTGGATTTTCCTAGAGTCTTTCTCTTTATTATTATTATTATTATTTTATAGTCTCTTTTGTGTAATTTTATTTTTATTTTTATTTACTAAAATACTTTTCTATTTTATTTTCATGTAAATATGCTTACCTCCCTGTACTTGGCTCATGAAACAGAATTATTTCATATCTTCCACAAAAAAAAAAATTACCTTGTTTAGCCAAACTATAATGCTAAAGACCATACCTGTAAATATGTAACATTATTTCTTTGTTAAATATTGTGTTGAGGTCTGTAAGTTGGTGAACCTCCATGATCAGAGATGATCAATAATGATAATAATTATGTAATAATATTTCTTGTCTTGATTATTAAGTAAATCTTTATTTTTATCTGTGCACTAATTATTTATTAATATGTTAGTATATGTTATACTTATAAAAGTTCTTTCTTAAAATCTAAAGGAACTTGTTCAACATGTGAAAAATACAGTGGATAAGAAGGAGTCCTTTGTATCAAGAACATGGACAGTAGGTGGCGCTTGAAGGATCTGAATCTTAAAAGACGAATCATCTTCACTCATGAATCAGTCATGCGAGGTTGACACTTTTGAGCCAAAGCTCTTATGTGTGTGCCAATGGGTCCCATTTAAATGAAGGGTTTCATTCCTTGGCTCTTTACAGAGAGTGTAGGAATTTAATAATTGAGTTAATGGGATGTATTTAAGAATGACTTAAAATCTGACGCATTGGAGCCGTAATGAGCTAGTGATAGTCGCTGGAGCTTAACTTTGCTGGTGATATAAGACTGATGCCTGACCCTGGAATATCAAAACCTGAGGTACGTGATTCTTGTGAACAGCCAGTAATTTATTGTAAATAAGTCAGGTTTTTCTTCACTTTCCTGTCCGGCAGCTGGTGCGTGGATCCTGCTCAGTCTTTGTTTTATCATTCGGGTTCAAGCTTTTCAACTTTTTGGCTGAATATCTTCTAAACATCTAATAAGACCATTAAAAGTCTATGGTGTTACATTTTTGACTTTCAGCAAAATCAAAATATTACAAAAGAGACACCTTTTGCCATAATTATTGTTTTATTTCTTTATTAGTATTAGTAAAGGCAAGTAACCACTAAGGGTCATAATCTGCCTTGATTTTAAGGGTGGTGATGAACAGACCACGCCCGCTATACCGCCGGTCTCAGCCACTATCCCCATTCATACCTCGTCTTATAAATTTTAAAGAGCAGACCAGCCATCCTCAAGAAATCAAAAAGTTTTTCTACTTTGTGTCTGACATGGTGGAGGTTCTCTCGCCATGAGAACACTATGCGTGAGTCTGCTATGACCTATTCTGAGTCAAGGCCGTTTCTTCCTTAAGAGAGATTCAAGTGGCAGTGGACCATTGTTTTATATCTTCAATTTCTCTCAGCTTGTTAAGCGTCATTTCACGCCATTCATTATGCCACATTTTCCACAAAGCCTTTATTCACGTTTATTTATTACCTATTAACAAATATTGACCCGGCCATCTGACCAAAGTGATCACATGTGGGAAATTTAAAATTGAACATTACTACACAATACACTTTACCAAATTTGTTTACACTTTCTTACGTAACAAAATTAATTCACACAAAAAAAATAAAAAAGTGACAGAATGAATGTATTAAAGGAGATAGCGTTAAGGGAAATTGAAGAGAAAGCTAAAGCCAAAAGGCTGAAATGGTTTGTCGAAAACTATGAGAAAATCTATCAGGATGGCTCCCACCCTGAAAGGGTCAGTAATTCACTTAAACTTTGCAAAATAAAACTAAATTTTTAGGCCAAAGTCTGGAAAAAGAATTTGCAAAATGCAAATTAAAAACTGTTATAGCTTCTAAATACTAATTGGTTGATTACCACTATCAAAATAATACGTTAATTATTGAGTCTCGTACTGAGCCATCTTCAGTGGTCTTAAAATTGATTAAAAAAAGATCTTTCAACCATACAATACAACCACATCACTCATGAAAAAATTATAATTGAAATTAAAATTGTTTAATTAATCAGATATCATGAAATAAATGTCTAAGTACTTGTCAGGACAATCTTTAATCAATTATAATTATATTTTGAAATTCATAATAAATAAAATCAAGTAGCTATTGATTGAAATGATCCAATTTTTTTAAAATTAATATTTAGTGAAAGTAAGACATTTGAGTGATTTGGTAGACTAGAACTCCCCCTCATTCAATTGAAACTTTACTCTCTAAATGGTTCCTATCACAACCAGCCTTTCCTTTAATGACTTTGACATCGGACCCTTCTATACGATCAATATCCCTTCATATGAGGGCCGAGGAATACTCGCAAGCTTTTCTTTTTCTTTTTATAAACTGTACGGATGGTTTCGTTTACTATTTTAGGAGGCAAAAAAGGCAGCGTATCTCTATAACGAATTGAGGAAAGTACAGCAGGAGATCGCAAAGAGGGACAAAGCGACCAACCCAAAAAAGGTACCACCTCCACAAAAGGAACTGATCCAATTCACAGATGAGGACATTAAAAGACCCATTATGTACCCCGTATCGAAGTTTTACCTTGATGTTTTGTATGGAGGTAAAAACAAATGGGTATATTATAAAACCCCTCTTAAATTTAATTAGGTTTAAAGTTTTATAGAATGGCTCTGTAAAACGAGAAGAGAAACACATGTTTTTAATAACACTTATTAGTCAAAAATAAAAATCAACTAGATAAAAGTAAATGGTTGAAACAATCTGTATCAAAATATAAACATATTTAATTCCTATGAAATAATAGCATAGAAATTAATTATCCATTATCATTTTATATGTTTTACATTATTATATTTTATAATGTAAATGTTTAAAATGAAAACTGAGCGTCAATAAAACTTCAAATACATATAGAAACATTACAATATTATTGATAAAATTGGTTAAGAAAGAACGTGAATTTTTATTAAAAAATATATTTTTATTTATTATTTTTAATATGCATACAATTGTAATAAATAATATGATTTATTAAGAACAAAATTGATTTATTTATAACTAAGCTCTAAAACCTATCAATTACATAAGATAATATAATAAATATTACATATTAGTTATAGTTTGTCAATATATTATGAGAAGCAAAAATGATAATAATAAAACAATGCTTTTATAATTTCAATAACTGGTGTAAAATTCTCATACAAACACCACATTCTTGCAAAAATAGATTTAAAAATTTTTAAACCGATTCGCTTGAAAAATGGCGTTTTTTAACATTAAATTGGCAGTTTTAATAGACATATGTTTGATACAAGATTGATTACGTGATTTTTCAAAAGTTTGGTCCTTTTTTAAAAGGAGGAAAACATTTTAAATTTGAATTTCGATGTTTGAACTTGGATTCACTTGCCCAGAAATGTGGCCTAATTTGGCTAACCAACATGTCTGTCCTTTAAACACTGTATTTTGAAAGAGATCATCTCAATAAATGTACTATATTAATTAACATTTGTAAAGGCATGGTGGCCCTAGTCTCAGAAAACTCAGAAATAAAACAATCTGCTTCTGTTAGATCATACTTTCATTTTTATTTTTCAAATTTAAAAAGTAAAGGAATTCTTAAAGAATAAAATAATATACTTAAAGAATGAAAAAATATATTCTTGTAGTAATCCATAAAGAAAAAAAAGTACGAATCAACAACAATCAGAAATAAAAAATAAAATAAATATTACTAAAAAAGCCAAATTGACGTAAGACTTCCATACTTTATGAAAGGGCAAATAAGTTTTGGTACTACTATTTAATGCCTAGTAACTTAACTATCAAAGATGTGATTTTATACTTTAAATGCTTGATTTGATTAATAGTTTCAGCTCCATTATTTTTAGCAGTCGTTGAATTTCTGAATAGTGGGCTTTTCAGCATTCTGAGGAGGTATAAAAAAAACTTAAAACTCCTATGAGCAGAATTATCTTTTCCGAAAGGTGAAAACCCTCTGATGTCTCTAAGATTTAATACAACAGTTGATTTTTTATACCTCCTCAGAATGCTGAAAAGCCCATTATTCAGAAATTCAAAATGAATGAAATGACTCACCCACCTCAATAATTTCTATTGAAGGATTTTTGTAATTGTTAATTTTAGAAATTCATTTTTAAACATTTAGATGACAATTAGACACAATTGGAATACAATTCTTATAATACACTTATAATTTGTTATTTTTAAAAAAGTTATATCAGTCGTTATGCTTAATTTATATGTTTGTATAAATTATGAGCCCAACAGATTTAGCATCTTAAAACATAAAAACAAACTCTTGTTATAAATATTGAAACATTAGTAGTCAGGTATTTTTGTTACTAATTCCAGGAGAAGTCGAAGAAGGCTACAAGCTTTATTTGAAACTGCGCAGCCAACTGGCCCCTTACGAGAAGTATTACGAATCACAAACGCAGAACATGGATTATGGATGGAAGACTGAAGAGAGGGCGGAAAGGCCGGATAAAGAATTCACTCGCAATTCTGTTATTAAACAGCAGTTTTTCAGGCGCTATGGTATTAAAGGGGAGACGCCCAGAAATCGGCCGCCATTCAAAAAGGGGATCGTCGCTCCTGAAATCCTTTGTTAAAATTGTTTAAAAAAAAAAGATATAATACAAATAAATCATTCTATCATTGATTAAAAATATATTTTAAAAATTTTCAGAAAAAATTGTTTAGAATGTATGCAGACAGTTCCTCACTGAAGATCGCGCAATGCCGAAATGCGTTTGAATAACTCAAAAACTGAGTGGAGACAGACTGGTAAAGTGGTTTGACCCCTCGTCCACAACAGCCAACATTGGACAGGATTTTTTTAAAATATTATTTTTACTCTCATATCATTTCATCCTATGTCAAATACATATTTTAATGTAAAATTGTACAAAATTGCAACACCAAAAAAAGTTTCAGTTCACATATTTTTTCTTGCTAATCATAACTAATGATGGCACTTTATCAATTCTCAAACTCTATTATTTATTTATTTAAGGAGTATACATTTATAGAATACAAGAAATGTACAATAATGTTTAAAAAAATATTTGAAAAATTCAGGAAATATTTATTGTATTGCAATAAAATGATGTAATTAAAACTCCATGCTAAAATGAAGATAAAATTAAAAAGAACTAAAAGGTAGAGCAAAGCGAGAAAGGAAAGAAAAATAGACAAAAAGGAATAAAAGAAGAGGGAGAGGAGAAAAAAAGGCAGTAATGTTCAGCATCCATAAATCCTGGATAACCCACATGCTTTTTTACATCTGATGAGAAAGAACTCCAGCCAAAGGAAGAAAAAATTAAACGGTCATAATCGATGAGAATCTTTTTTAGCCGCTTCATGAGAGTAATTGTCACAAATAAGGATGAGAGGAATTAGTGAGCATTCAGAAAATAAACGAATTCTCAATCTGTTATCATTTTTGAGAGGAACTTAAGGAAAATAAATGTCTTATTTTTAGGAAGAGTGTTTCTCAGTAGCATTCTCGTCTATGGTACATTCAAACAACAATCCACAAAACTATGCCACCAGATACAATGAGCAAATGACTGCATGGTCACGCCTATTAACAATCTTTAAATTGAAGAAATGAAGACTGAATCATCGCTTTCTCCTTGTAACATGATTTAAACTCGTCTTCTAATTCTCACTAATTTAACTCCTTTCTTCTCTCGTAATTATCAGAGCTTTGCCATGCTGCAGAACCATTGCCCTTTCAAAGAATTCAAGAGTTCCAAAAATGGATTTCAAAGATTGTCTATATCCACATATTGAGGGACTAACCAAGTCACAATTTAGGCACATCTGTAGCAAGACCAATCATGTAATTTATATTACATTAATTAAGCAATAATTTTTTATTTTTAAAGAAAAACAACAACTTAGTATACGGTTTGTCTCTTGATTTATGCAGTTCTAATCCAAAGAAGCTTTAAAGAGGAAAGAATAAATTCCACCTATTTTAGGCTCAGCAATGACCTATCAGTTAACCTAACAAGTGCGTGTAAATGAACTTTCTTAAATAAACATTTGTGTTTTTCTACATTCTTTGGCAATAATTTACTCTCATCTTTAATGACTTCAGACATGTCTGTCAGTTATAGGAATACGCCTCAGTGACATGGTCATTCCTCTGAGCAACCTCTAAATTTGAGAAATGAAGTCATCCATATCAGATTCATCACTCTCCCCACACATTTGAAGAGCTACAGGTACAATCAAAGAATTCAAGCTCCCAGAATTAGGTCACAAAAAGCAGGAAAAAACTGCGAATCCTAACGGATTCTTAACAGGACACTGCAAACTAAATGGACATCTGAAGAAGAGGCATCACCCACATGGCACTTGCAGATTCTACAAAGAAGCAGAGGAGTCTCCAATACATCTACTAACAAACTGTAGTGCTACACTTCCGTAGTGCTTTAAGATGTACAACCAGACCAAGACTTCGGGGACACTAGTCTATTGCTTCTAATTGCTTAAGTACTTACATAAATATATAAATAAATAGGTTATTCAGGTACTATTATGATTGACTAGATAGGTCAGGACTTGGGTGAGCTCGGTACATTTCTGGAGCCATTACTTTCATAACATATTTTGCGATAGCCTTGAAATTGGCCTATTGGCCTTGAACCCTTTTGTGGCATACCAAAGTGCCAAAAATGTTGAACCAACAGATAATTGATTAAAAATAAGTTTTCCATTATAAATTCAGCTCAGGACAGAGGCATGTGAAAAACTCATGAAAGGCCCATTGCAGAAACGAACAGCAGAACTACTAAATCTAGGACTTGATAGGACTAGAATAATAGTTGGGTTGCTAACTGGACACTGCAGACCTAGAGGCATATGTATAGACTCAGAGTTGTAGAAACAAGCCTGTGCAGATATTTCTAAGATGAAGCATGTCCTCTGTGCAAAGACTTATGTAGGATGAGTTTACTCCTGGGAGAGGAAAAGCATACACATGGGAATCCTTGAAAGAGCTTTGGGATCTGGTAAAAAGTCTTAAGTTTAACAAGGATGTCTAGACAACAATGGAGACCAAGGTCGAAGTGTGCAGGTCATAAAGATGCCCACTCCTCTAATCTAATTTGCGAGCGAATTCCAAAAACAAATCTATACTTTAGTCAGCTTCTAACTCGTCCATTGTAAAGTATGACAGAATCAAATATCTGGGTTTTTAAAGCACTCGGGACTGGGTCAAGAAGAGATGGAGGAGAGTCGCCTGGATACTTTCTGTACCTCATACTGGTATCACATGGCGTCTCTCGTACCAATTGCCTCTGTGTGAACCGGTCCTGTCTCCCAGAGTTGTGTCTCAAGGACAACCAACTTCATCACTGACCAAGTATGTTACTTTGGGCTTAATTTCCTCAGACAGAGTTTGTGTATATAGTTAAGCATGTAAAGTTTTATATAAATTAAAAACAGCAAACAATAGAGCAGAGTATGCTGTTAGTTTCTGGATTCTTTAGATTGAGGGAATTTCATAGTCAAGAAGCTCAGCTTTAAAGAGGAAAGAGACAAGTCGCAAATAGCCGGTAATTGTTGGATTTAAGACATGTGAGCGGTCGTCAATTACATCATCGTTCAAAACGGAAAACATTGGTGTTTTAGCGTGGGCTGTCAATTGCGAATTGGAAACGTGATTCTGTGAGATTGAGGCGATCTGCGAGTCGCGTTCTGTGAGTCGACGAGCGACTCGACGCCTACAACCTCCCGCCAACCTGATAATCTGCTCATTGGCGCGTTTCGGCTTCTGAAATGAATAAACAAACCGTGGGCAACCGACGGTTCGATAGTCACCGGGTTGACGACGCGTACTCGTACCTTGAGATCCGACCGGCCGGCTCGGCTCCGTCCACTGTCCAGTCCCACGGCATTTCGAGGGAGGCGTGGGGTTTGCCCGAGTCAGGAAATGACGACCAATTTGCCGAATAAAACGATTTGACGATTCAGAAAAAAATGGCAAGCTTCAAATACACATCCTGCATCAAAATCAAAGGACACCCGATACTTCCGCCTATCGTAAGTTGTCACGTGCATGTCTCATAACTGTCAAAGCTCCTTTCTGCATTGAATAGTCTGCATACCTACCTGGATCATCGGAACACGAAGACTCTCTTTCTGTGAGATTCGTTCACAATCCTGTTCTCCAAAGTCATCGCATGACAAAGAACAATCTAAATCAAATATTTTGATAGTATTTTTTAACATTTCTTTAACTTTTAATTTTTTTTAAATAATGTAAATCCTGTTCCAATCGAGTCAAAATAAGTACCTTAAATGACAGGCTTTTTCTTGCTAATTTAAAAATAATTTCATTTTGATACTTTTTTTTTTTAATATTCAATGTATAAACCATTGTGTTCTATGGTTTGTTGTTATCTCGAGGCCTTCACATACTTCACATTTTTTGTTTCTGCATTGAATCGTCGGCATACCGACCTGGTNTAAACAAACAATATCATTTGGAAGAGGATTAATAAGTGTTGACATTCATACAAATGAGTAATCCTGTAAACGTAAACAGAATATTTTATATAGATTTTTTTTAATGAAAACTTAAAATCCTGCATTATTTTCCGGACAACCCGATAATTAAGGATATCTCAACTTCATCAATACAACTTACAAATTTTTTCTAATCAATTTAATAATCTATAAGTCAATAAAAAGAAAACAATAAATAAGGAAATTAGAGGAAATAGAAAGCAAAAAATATTTTTTCTAATGGCAAAATTTGGTCGTGGAGGATTAAAGAAAATTTATTTCCCAATAAATTTGCAAAAAATAATAAATAAATAGTAAATTTTACAAAAAAATACATAAAATTCACTAATTTCGTGGTCCGCTTGACTATATTATTATATTACAATTAATTAAGGTTTTTAGTTGAGATAAAAAAGTCAGTGTCACGAGCGGGATTCGAACCCACAATCTTCGGCTAGATATGCCGCTGCTCTACCACTTGAGCTATCGTGACCTCGATCCACTCGAACACTAACTTTATCTCAACTAAAAACCTTAATTAATTGTCATATAATAATTGGTCAAGCGGACCACGAAATTAGTGAATTTAATGATTGAAAATGAAGTATACTTCACTAAAGCTCCATTCTGTGGCCATTTCATTTGTCATCGAGAATCCACTCGGACACTAACTTCCCATCTCAACCCCACCTTTTGAATTTTCCCTCCTTTTTGCCATTTTTCAAATGTCGTGTAATCTATTTGATTCTCGGCAACAAATGAAATGCCCATGGAGAGCTTTAGTGAAGTATACTTCATTTTCAATCATTAAATTCACTAATTTTGTGGTCCGCTTGACCAATTATTATATTACAATTAATTAAGGTTTTTAGTTGAGATAAAGTTAGTGTGGAAGTTAGTGTCAGAGTGGATCGAGGTCACGATAGCTCAAGTGGTAGAGCAGCGGCGTATCTAGCCGAAGATGGTGGGTTCAAATCTCGCTCGTGCCATTGACTTTTTTATCTCAACGAAAAACCTTAATTAATTGTAAAAAAATACATAGTTGTAATATACATTTTGATATTGTAATAAACAAGTGTATATTTACTACCATTTTGAAATGATACTTCCTACTCACAGTAAGTTGTTTTGCAACAATCCGGATTTCGAGCCCTTAGCTCATCATCAGGTTGAAGGATTTCGATTTGAAGGAAATTCTTCAAACTGTTGATGAGCTTAGGGCTCGAAATCCAGATCATTGGAAAACAACTTACTGTGAGTAGGAACTATCTTTTTAAAAAGGATTGAACACAGCACTCACTCCATCATTCATCATTTCTATTTACTACCATAGCCATAAAAATACTAAAAATGTAAACTTGTAAAAAAATGTTTACTTTAAGTAGATCAAATTTATAAAAATTATGAATTAATGCTTTTTATAAAAATTTCAGAAAATTAATTTTGCAAATTTACAATTAAAACGACCTACAGCTCTGCAATTTTGGCCAACAACAAAAACTGTACATATTTTCCACAATGGAAAATAGAAGGAGAATAAAGGGAAAAGAAATACCTGGTATATTTATGATATTTTGAATGATACTATTTTTAAAGTTGATGTTGGTGCTGGCCTGCGAATCGGTTGAACCGACACTGGGTTACTTTATTGGGTCTGTCTTTACTCACGGGTTTATTGAATTACTCAAATGAGTTTCGGCATTGTGCCACCTTCATTCAAATTGTTTGAGTAATTCAATGTTACTATTTTTATGCAAATTAATTCATTAACATGTTCGATGGTACTTCATAATGCACAAGAAAATTTCTTGCTTTTTTTCATCGCCACCCAGAACGGTCAAAATTGAAATTACAGCCATTGTTGAACATGAAATATGTTTACATCTGATATTCTGTCGTTGAATATAAAGATAAGCTTAACAGCTCAAGAAAATAGAAAACTAAATGGTCGGTAAATATAAAAATAAACAAAGAGAACATTTTTTCCTAACAATTTAAACATTTAGCATCAGTCAGTAATTACGATTTGTGTCGTTATATTTTTGTGATGTTATCTGATCAGCCTTTTTTTTCTGTTGTTTATTAATTAATTTGAATTTGTTCAGCTTTGTGAGTAACAGCATGCAATTTATATGATTATACGAGAATATTTCGTTGTGATTAGTATCAGCCTACAATATTATAATTTTATAGCAAAAGAATATCTGGGCTAAGGATCTTTTTCAATTCCTTTGGATTTTGAGATTTTCTCAGTGTGGTCTGCTGGGTGATGAACCTGTAATTTGCATTTATTTACTAACCAATTTTTTTCTCTCTTTTTAAACAGTTATTCACCGTTTAATATTTTCTTATAATCGCTATTGAAAATCATCATTCCAGGTCCTGTAGCAACAAGGCCCTCATCGTTACCGCTGAACAAACCGCCTGCTTCTGGGTACAAACCTTGGAGATGATGGTCAAAACACAATGTTCTCGTGAAATTACTACCTCAAAACGTCATCATTGTTGGTTCGGTACTTCAAACATGTTTTTTGATACTCACATGTACGAAAGTTTTGTATAAAAAAATGAGATATTTTGAAATTATTTTTAAGCGTGTGTGTGTTCTATATTAAGCGCGTAATATTTGTAATAAATTAAAACGCTGTGAATTGTGTTAATGTTTCATTGTTGCATTTATTGATATTTTTATTATTTCTACAAGTATCAATTATGACAAACGCTTAAATAGTGAATATTTCCTAAATTAAAAAAAATATGCTGTCTATTTTTTCAAAAATGTGTAAACAGCAATTTTTAATTCACGTTTATTCTCAAAATTTGTTACATTTTTGAAGTTATGTTCTAGCGTAATAACTAGATTGTTTTACTGGTTCTGAATATGTTTTGAACAATTATTTTATAGTCATCCAACAGGGATATTTTTGCATGAACTTTGTACGTAAAGCAGGGTAAACAAAATTTGCTTACTATGCTTTTATAAAACAAAATTTAGTTATTTTTCCATTATATTGTTGTTATAAGTAAAATCAATTAAATCTATGTGAAGACACCAAAATTAAAAAATTTTGTACTAGTCAAATAAAGGAAACCATTTTTCTAAACAAAAAGAAATTGCAAATGTAAACTGTTGTCAGCTTAAACATAAGTATAATAAATAAGTTTTCAATCAAACTGAAGAAATTTCTTATGAACATCAAAGAATTTATGATTTTTTTACAATCAGGTGATTAAATAGCCAATTGGTTGAATTATATACAATAAATGCACAATTTTTACAAAGAAAAGTGATAATCATCTGGTCAATAGAGAATACAGGTGCCTTACCACTAAATTAAGGAATGTCCACTTTCGGCCTAGTATGGCTGGTAAATGTACAACATTGTGACAGATTATACCCAATTACATTTCATCTTTAATTAGATTTTTACTTTTTTCCCGAATATGCATATTTTATCCTCTTCGTTTATTGATGTAAAAAAATGAGTTCAGGCGATCGAAGTCATCCAACAAATAAAACCACAGGAATTTTTGTATGTCCATGTTTAAAAGTCTGTAATCCAGAATCCTTCGGTTTTAGTGTTACGCACTTAGATAATATTTTAAAGCAGAAATTGCGGTGAGAGGTTTTGTACTGAGTAATGAGAATCTCAGACGGGGCATAAGATTAGGAAAGAAAAAAACTTCAAAATATAAATACTCAATTAATTATACACAATTTTTTTCGAAATGAAAAATTTGTGTCAGGCGGGATTCGAACCCACGACTTTCAGCTTCGAAGTCACAGTAGCTCAAGTGGTAGAGCAGCAGCGTATTTAGCCGAATATCGTGGGTTCGAATCCCGCCTGTGACACAAATTTTTCATTTCGAAAAAAATTGTGTATAATTAATTGAGTATTTATATATTTAATAGAAGCTGATAAAATTTAGTATTAATCTAGAATCACACCTGTGAATCGTACACAGTCCCCCTAATCTAGTATAATCATTAATAAAAAGTGTTTCTATATGAAGCCACGATTTGCTTATAATTAAAATAAAATTGGGTAGTCGAAATGAGAAGTTTGTGGCATGGGCGATCGAAGTCATGGTAGCTCAAGTGGTAGAGCAGCGGCGTATTTAGCCAAAAGTCATGGGTTCGAATCCGGCCTGTGACACAATTTTTTCATTTTGAAAAAAATTGTGTATAATTAATTATTTATATATTTAATAGAAGCTGATAAATTTAGTAAAATTCAAAATGCTTAGGAGGAAGAGATTAAGAATTTCACTGTTTTCTCAAGGGGAGGGGGGCTGCAAACTAAAGTTCTATCTGAGAAAAGGCATCAAGTTAGACGGGCATAAACCTTGACTAAAGAGACTGCTGAGTTAGGAGAAAATGTTTTGGAGCATTTTAGAAACAGTACAGAATCTGTTTTTTTTTGTTTTTGAAAATGCTTATATTTTTGGTATTTTAACGTTAACAATTTCGGTGTCTAAAGTTCAACAATTGAGACCCAAGTGCAGTAATTAATATTGTTTGTTTAGCCCATAATGTGTTGTAATTACAGTGCAATTGTTCACTTAAAATCTTCATGAATGGAAAGACATGTTGCACTGCAGCAGATGACCAAACGTGGGAAGTTAAAAATCTTGCTGTTTGGTCATTATATTTTACTAACAGACGAAATAATCTCCAATCTCTTTTTATGAATATGAAATATCATTTGTTCCTAAAGAACAGGCTCGACTTGTCTTTTTCTTTATTATAATTGGCTGAGTTGTAATTGTCTTCGTCAATCTGGTGAGACAATTTTTCAACCGATGCCTTAATTGGTAATTTTCATTCAAGGTAAAAATAACTGTCTTTTTTACTACAAGTCATCACACCTAACATCTGTTTATTGTGATTATCCATAGAAGGAAAATAAAGATATAACCATGTAAAAATGCATGCCAAGAGTCAGTAGTGTGAAGGGTTAAAGTTGATGGGTTTCTCACAGTTCTTCACTGACGATGGCACAATGCCGAAATGCATTTGAATAACTCAAAAACCCGCGAATGGAGAGACAGATCCAATAAATGACCCTGTTCTGGTTCAACATAGTGTGTAGTTACAATCAATTAAGGTTTTCAGTTGAGATAAAAAAGTCAATGGCATGAGCGGGATTTGAACCCACGATCTTCGGCTTGATACGCCACTGCTCTACCACTTGAACTATCGTGACCTCGATCCACTCGGACACCAACCTCCCCATCTCAACCACACCTTTTGAATTTTCCCTCCTTTTTGCCATTATTCAAATGTCGTGTAATCAATTTGATTCTCGGCGACAAATGAAATGGCCACAGGGAGCTTTAGTGAAGTATACTTCATTTTAAACTTATTAAATTCACTAGTTTCATGATCCGCTTGACCAATTAATATCTTACAATTAATTAAGGTTTTCAGTTGAGATAAAAAAATCCCACTCATGCCATTGACTTTTTATCTCAACTGAAAACCTTAATTAATTGTAAGATATTAATTGGTCAAGTGAACCACGAAACTAGTGAATTTAATAGTGTGAAGTGTTGTGAAGCATCAAGTGCAGATACCCTTCTGAAAGCTTATTAGCGAAATATATTTTATACAGCACCCGATGGGAAAAGAAGTGCATGTCCAAGTTAGTAGGTATGCATTCAAAAATTAACTTTGGTTAGTCATCAAGGCATTTGTAATATTTAAAATGTCAAACATTAGTTTGGTTAGAATTAGGGAATGGTTAGGTTAGGTTATATATCCATAATTCGATGTTTTGCTATGAAGCAGAGATACGCAAGTGCAAAGCGCGAATCACAATACTTTATAGAAAGATACATTTTCATTTTATCTAGATTCCATAAGTTTCCTTTTTCAGGTGGCTTTATCACTTTCAGCAGGAGGTACTAGTCGATTAGGTTCTTTCTTCTCATTCACCAGGTCTATAAAATATTTTGTCCTTTAGTCTATTATGTAATTTTCTTTTGTCGCTATTTTGTCTTTTCCTGGAGGAACTTGTTTTTAGATTGAACTGTGCCCTTTCCTTTATGATATTATTTTGGAAAAACTCTTGGTTATCTCTTGGTTCTCTCTGCAATTTTATTTCAATTGTAGAATTAAGGCTGTGTTCTTCCTATGGACAATTGAAATAATTGTGACTTGTTGGCTACTTATGTCTCAATAGTAGTCTTCACTTCGGGCTTATAAGATCAAAATTAAATTACAATAAAGTTTTTGTAAGAAGTCACAGCTTGATGTTATATGATCGATGCTTCGGCCTAATCGAGAAAAGGAAGAAAAAGAAAAGCAACTGCAATGTTCCATCTCATCTGATGCACATAATCACAAATTCACAAAGTTGTACGTATAAAAATTTATATGAAAAAAAAACTTAATTTATTATTTCTGATACCATATTAGGTTTGCGTTGAGGGGAAGATTCATTGGTAAATTTTGTACATAAATTTTTGAGATTTCCAAACTTTTTCACTTTTGTAAGTAACATAGGCTATGAAGGTATGTTTTCACGAAACGTTTTTTGGTAATACTAGGTCGAAAAATATTAGCCAAATGACAGTTTTTGTCAATGAAGCATAGGAGCCGAGATTTTTTTTTAACAATTTAATTTTTTAACTATGGGTTTCTGTCCTTGTTCTGCGTATATTTCAAGATTATTATATATTGGTCGATTCGGTTTTTTACTTAGAATAAGGAAATGATATGTAAAATTGTATTAAATGAAATCAGGTATATAAAAAGTTGCAAAAACCGAAAGACGCTTGCAGTAAAATAGGCCAAAAAACAATTCTGGTTTGTTTAAAGCACCCTCCAACTAAGCGACTTTTCTCGCCAATAACGACCAGTTTTCCATTTATAAAAATGCATTACAACCCTTGGAATGCTGAATATTTTTCAGCCTATGTTACCAACCTTTGGATTTTATGTAATCATAATTGAGAAAAATAAAAATTTAATAAAATCTCAAAGGTTTTTGCTGTCCGTGACCGGTTCTCCGTCGACCCTCCCGCTGAGCTCTTGTTGGAGAGATACCATGAAATCGCGCGTCTTGGCAAAATGTTTGTTGTCCGCGCACCCGGACACATAAGTCTAGTGGGTAACGAAAAGGCAGACGTCGCCCCAAAGTCCGGACTTAACCACCGCGATCCGAAACCTCTAACGCTAAAAATGCATTCAAAAACACGATTAAAAGAAAGCCGCATCGGTGGGCGGGATCGGCAGAAGCTCTCACATATGAAGAGCACTGTTCAGCATCTGAACCGTAGTAGAGAGGTCATCTTCACCCGATTAGGAATATGCCATGCGAAGTTGACACATGGACGCTTACTTTTGCGCCAAAGTTTAAGTCGTCATCAAAGAGAAAGGCATGTATTCCACTTAATTGACGGATGCCATTCCTTGGCTTCATATAGTGAGCGAGTAGGAATTCAACCCGACATGAGAATTCTGCTTAAGCAGCGAGAATCTTAGTCCTTTATTCTTATCTTGTGTTTCCTAGTATATACTGAGAATTAATGTATTTAGTAGCGTGAATGTGCACTGTGAGAGGGCAGATAGTTGAATATTGAGTACCCCATAGTCCCTCGATTAGGTTAGTTATATGATAGATGTGAAGGATGATGGTGGTGTACTTCACCACCCAAAATGAGTGAATGTTATTCATGAGTGAGAGTGCAAATGGGTTTGGATTGAGAGACTGCGTTGGATGTCCTGGACCTGGAGGGACCTGGTTGTTGACCCTGGAGTCCAACTCGGTAGCTCGGCGGATAAACGGACCACCGGCTGCGAGAAGTGATAAGCTCAAATCTGTACATGCGTGTGCAGATTAGAGCTTATATAAATCACTAATCAAACGTTTTATTTTACAACTCCGGTTTTATTAATTAATTTATTTACGGATACTAGATTTGTGTTATTTGATAGGATTCTAAACCGCTTTAAATCATGTAAATCAGAGGAGTCGCTTCTAACTTATTTTCGATAAAAAATCAGAGGCAATTTGGAAGGCAAGCAATTGGAAAAAAAAATGTTTTTTGATTTACCTAAAAATTTGTATTCTTGGTTTGGATGCAGAAAACGAAACAGAAACTTTGTCTCATGTTAAAAAATTTCTAACATACTTTGCAGTCACGAAAAGAATAAATCTGCGAATTCGTATATCTATTGCAATACAATAAAAAATTAATTTTTGACCTAGAGGCGCAGCAAATTAGGTAGAGTATTTCTGCAATTTATCGACGTAAATCAAATATTTTTGTTTTTAAAAAAAGACAGATTTCCTGAAAATTTTTCTTCAATTGAAAAATATGATACTCTCGTCAGTCGTCACCCCTTGTATGAGTAGGACTGGCGTAGTAGAACTGGGCGATCTGTGGTAAACTACGTGCCAGTACTCATTCGTCCTCCTCATCACGCAGGTAAAGTATACAGCAGACGGGACACAATTTCTGACTTTTCCATTGCCAACATTTGTACGTTATACCAATGGTATAATTGAGACGAGGTAATTTGGAGTGATTAATTTTGCACCGGTAGTAATATTGCTTTGTACGACACAATTTATACTTTTATAACTGTGAATTCTGGTTTTATTTGCTATTTTAAAAAAATGTTATGGTACGATGAGGTTTTTTTTTATTATTCAAACCAAGTATTTTTAGGCACTCTTTTTTTATTTTGTTACTTTAAGTGGATCTAGACAAAGAAAAAGAAAATTAAATCTACCTTGATTATTACCTCAAATTAAAATATTATTTTTATAAAAATAATTGCTAATGAATGAAAAACTAAAAAACTATCGGGTTGTCCGGAAAATAATGCAGGATTTTAAGTTTTCATTAAAAAAAATCTATATAGCATTGAATCGTCGGCATACCGACCTGGTTCATCGGAACACAAAGACTCACTTTCTGTGAGATTCGTTCACAATCCTGTCCTCCAAAGTCATAGCATGACAAAGAACAATCTAAATCAAATATTTTTTTAACATTTCTTTAATTTTTAATTTTTTTTTTAATAATGTAAATCCTGTTCCAATCGAGTCAAAATAAGTACCTTAAATGACAGGCTTTTTCTTGCTAATTTAAAAATAATTTCATTTTGATACTTTTTTTTTTTAATATTCAATGTATAAACCATTGTGTTCTATGGTTTGTTGTTATCTCGAGGCCAATACTCTTTGGGTTTTGAACGGAAGAATTGTACAATTCTATTTTGAACCTCATCCAGAGAATTAAAAGTTTTCCCTTGAAGATAATGAACCATGGACTGGAAAAGCTGGTAGTCGGAAGGTTCCAAGTCTGGATTGTAAGAAGGGTGAGCGAGAAGCTCAATTCATCCAATTCTGTAATTTTTTGTTTCTGCATTGAATCGTCGGCATACCGACCTGGTTCATCGGAACACAAAGACTCACTTTCTGTGAGATTCGTTCACAATCCTGTCCTCCAAAGTCATCGCAGGACAAAGAACAACCTAAATCAAATATTTTCATTGTATTTTTTATCATTTCCTTAATTTTAATTGTTGTTTTAATCAAGTAAATCCTGTTCCAGTCGAGTCAAAAGAAGTCCCTTCAATAATAGAGTTTTTTTTGCTAATTTATAAAAAAATTATTTTGACAGAATTTGTTGTTAATATTCAAAGTATAAACCACTGTGTTCTAAAGTTTGCTGCCATCTCGGGGCCTTCACAATACCACTCTTTGGGGTTTTGAAGAAATGGGCGAGGGCCTGGAGCTGATGGTAGTCAGAAGGTGCTAAGTTAAGACTATAAGTAGGGTGAGCGAGAAGCTCAATTCCATCCAATTCTGTAATTTTTTGTTTTGTGTAATGAGAAGTTGTATAGTTGGGTGTTATCTCGTTGAAACAAAACCCAATTTCTATTTACTAATCCTGGGTAATGCTGGATCAAAACATCATACATTTTTTTGTGACTGCTAACAACAAAGTTATGAATCAATGTTTTGACCTTCTAGAATGAGCTCATAATAAATTATGCCTTCTTAATTCCAAAATACAGAGCGTTGTCTTTTTGTCGAATTGTCCTTGTTTAGTATCTGACAGAGCAGGCTGATAGCAGTCTAGCCATTGTTTCTTGGTCTTGGGATTTCTCCAATATATCCGCTTTACATCAAAAGTAACTGTTCTTTTGATGAACCAGTGGTTTTTTTCTCTGCAAAGTAAAAGTAAAGTAATTCATACATTCCCACCCTCCAAGAGAGGTGTCGTGGATGGGGATGTCAAACCACTTTACAATTTTTCATATCGAAATAAATCAAGCCATGATTTGTACACAGAATGACTTGGCACCACATCCTTTGACTCGATTCTTCAGAGATATCTATAGAATTCAAGTCCCAAGTTACCAGCTCTCAGGTCGTGCCTGCTCATTGGTCAACTCATGACATACCACTCTTAATGAGAGATTCACTTTCCCCAAATTATGCAGTCTGTGATTTATGGTGATTGGGAAACTTGAAAGCTCTCTTGTCAATTTCAATACTTTTTGTTGGGTCTGCCTCAACTGAGACTGTAGAGCTTCCTCATCGAATTTTCATCCAGAACCCTCTTTCCTCTTGAGGCCGATGTCACCAGCTTCTGCAACCATCTGCACACTGTTTATTCAGAGAGAGTAACCTCTTCTTCAAATTGCCTGACCAAAGGTGTTGTTTCGGCAGTGGAGAACATAAATTTCCAATAATGGAATAATATTACCCAAATTTTCAATTTTACCATCATGTCGTTTAACCAAACTCTAAGACAAAACTGAATGCAAGAAAAAAAATTTTTTTTACACACTCAATTAGTAATATTTAGTCTACAGATTAAAGTGGTATCAAATCTAATTGGTTTGAAAACCAAATGAAGCCTATAGAATACACTTTCCAAGAAAATTTAAAAAAATTATGGCACCCTATTCAAGTATGCTATGATTTTACAAAAAGTGTTTCACATTTCTCCAGAGTACTGTGATGCGACTAAAAGCATAAAAGTCACAGATCGCTTTGTGTTTTATATAAACACCTTTTCATCTATTTTTTTGTTATTTTTCAGATCACTTCGCACGATAGGGTAGAACTGAACAGACACAGAGAAGATGCGATCAGGAAAGAAGAGGAAATCGCGACGAGGACACAAGTTTCTGAAATCAGCGATTTCCTAACCGACGTGGAGGCGAACAGCGAGGACGGGAGTTTAAACGGCTCTTCTACGCTGAGGACTGAACAGGTGTTGGAATTCATCAGGCAAGCGCTTTCCGAAGACAAGCTGAAAAATCTAGAAGAAGTCAAAATGCTCCAAACCGCTATCTTCGAAGAACTCAATAGATGCGCTGAACAATCCGCCTTGGACGGCGACGAGAGTTGTGACACGCTTCATAACGTCGAGGACATTTCGCCGACCGAAGGAAGACTCACGCCGTCGTTCAGTGATATTTCTCCCATTAAATTTACACCTACTGAACACAACAAAAAATCAGCCTTATCTGAACCGCACTATAGACTGAATGTGCCTAAAGAAAAACTGAATTGCAAGAAAGCTCAACAAGATCTCATAAATCGCAAAATGTCTACCTCAGAAAATAGTCCCCTGGCTAAAAACATCTTGGTCACCCCTCCAAAAATGATAAGAAGAAATTCTTACACTTTAGAATCACCGAGCACAAGTGTTTTAGCCTATATAAAATCATTAAACAAGTCTGACCAATCTAATAATGAACATTCGTTGTCTTCTGTTAGCTTAAGTGATAAAAAACCTCTTAGAAGGCTAAGTCAAAAATGGGATCAAGATGAAAGTTCCAAAACTGAAAATAAAACGCCCTCCCCAAGTCTACATCTTATGTCAGATGTTAAGAATTCTAAGAGATGGCTGATGTCATCAGATCCTAGCTTAAAAACCCGTCTAAGTACAAAAGAACTAGATGCAATTTGTCAAACCATTAAAGGTGTTAACCTTGCCAGTAGGGCCAGACGAACACTTTTTGAAAATAATAATGTTACCCTTGAAATGGAGGTGATTTTATTAATTAACTTATATGTATCTTTGTTTTATTTAAATTTACAATTTTTTTTGTAATTTTGTTTAGGAAGCAGCCATTAAAATTCAAGCAGGGATTAGGGGTTATTTGACGCGGCGGCTTATGAGAACATATAAGATTACCGAGTTGAAAAATACTATTAAAGATAGCTTAATCACAGCACTTCAGTTACATTCCGAACCCCCTGTCAATCAAGCAGAACTGGAACTTCATAAACGTCTTGCATTGCAGGTCAGCAATCTCCTCTCACAATTATTATTAATAGAAAATTTAGTGAGCAAATTGGTACCGAAAACAATTTATTTTTCTTTGTAATATATATTAAGTATAGAAGATTTCATCAACATGTGACAGGTATTATATAAAAAATGACTAAAAACTTTTTAAAAATTTCAGGTTGAAAGTGTCTGTCGTGAATGGCATACGGTGTTCTTTGAGCTTTCGCCCCAAGAACAAATGAAGATAATCCAAATCGATAGAAATAGAGCATTGCTAACGAAGAAAACTAAACCGTAAATATGAAAATAAGTTATATTACAAATAAATATGATTCTTAATTTTTTTTAAAATGATTTTAGTGTTGTAAAAAAGCATTACGCTTCTCTGCGATCGAAAGCTATGTCCGAATCACTGAATTCCCTGAAAAGTCCGCCAAGTAAGTTACAATTACATTCAATTTTAGTTGGATAAAAAAAAAAGTTGATTGGGTAGGCGTTAAAGTGGTGCACCTGAGTAAAAATAATAGAGAAAAAAAATTAATTGCAAGTGTGCAGTTTTTTCGGTTTTTCAGTAAAAAGTCAAATTTTCAAAATATAAATTAATTTTATTTTTAAACTGAAACATAATTTCCTTCATTTTCTTCAACATACTACCCATGTTCTAGAAGCAAAAATATCCACTTTTTGTACGTCTGATGATGTAGATAAGAAGAAATCTGTAAGTCTGAATGTCAGAGAGTTTTTGTTCAAAAATGTCTTTTAGTGGTTGTCTAGAGATCGGTCTAAAAATCAAGAGGTCTGGAGATATGGAAGGTGGGGCAAATATTGCTATCCCAACTTGGCAATTTTACTCGGAGTGAGTGGAACTGTGTGACTTCATAGTGAAACACAATGCTTCTGGACATTTTTCCTTCAACTCTGCCCCAAGACGTTCTATGCGTACTTTTTGGTTGCTCGGTAACAGTTCCAAAAAAAAAAAAAAATGATTCCCCGAATATCCTGTCAAATAGGAGAGTGCAAACCTGCTCTTGATGTCTTCAGTAGTGTTTCATTCTTCACACAACTGGTCCTATGATTAACATTTTCATAATGGACCCACTTCTCATCTCCAATGACCAAATAGGAAATTAACCCTTCCAATTTATTCCTGTTCAGGTGTGAACCACGTCATGAAGGTTCAGATTGTCAAAAAAGTTGCCAAAGTAAACTTTACAACCGAAACCCGTGTTACTCGAGGCAACTCCTTCTCCAAGTCCATTTTCAGGGTTTTCCTTTTAATTTTCATAAAGGTCGAATTAATAAATGGTGCCATTATCAGTATCATGCTGGTACCACTAATTGAAACCCCACTTTTTGAAAGCTCCTTCAGGACATTTCTGTGACCCCAAAATTTAAAATTGCCTTCAAACATTTTTGCAACTACATAGTAATTAATTAACAACTAATACAAATAATTAAAATTAATAATTATTAAACTTGTTATAGGATTCAATAGCAAATATAAAAAATAATTTTGTAAAAATACAAGATAAAAACTAAAATTTAGATCTCTGCATACATTGCCCAAATTTGTGGTCACAAATGCCTAAAATTTGTGAAATCTATTGGGTTGTCCGGAAAATAATGCAGGATTTTGGTATTAAACAAAAAAAAAGAAACTAGTTACTTTAAAGCAATGTTCTTTAATCAAAATAATTTCCCATACTCTCAATACATTTCTCCCAACGTGTTGGTAACTTATTAATTCCGTCTGAGTAGAATTCAGAATTTTTAGAATTGATAAAGTCAATAAATGCATTTTCCAGTTCCGTTTGATT